CGCAAAATACTTCTGATAATGATCATATATACTAAGAAACATTGTATGTAGTAAAGAATTACATTTAGTTCAAATTGTTACAGATTTTTGGTATTTGCGAATATACCCCATATAATGGTACTCCACATTTCCTGTGCTGTAGGAATTTGGACACGTTTTAAATGTAATCAGCTGTAATTTAAAATTCGGTTATTTTATTTCATAGAATGAAACCTACTAAAAATGATCAATATTGCTCGCATATAACGATACTCACAATATTCGGTATTTTGGGAAGTTTGGTTCAGTGTTTCAACAAAAGTGGCTGTAATATTATATTTTGGATGATCAAAACCTCTTTACCAAAAATGATCAATAGTAGTAGTTTTCTCTGTAATTCACATGTTTGGTATAGAATATATGCGAGGTGTTGAGTTTATAATTTCACAGCTATTGACAAACGATTAGGAATTTCCCGTGGCATATTAACATTTTAGGCACTTTAAGGACAACATGTTCCTACGGAAACTATTACTATTATCTTCAACCAAAATAATCTAGGGCATGGATCTTTGAATCAGAACTCGATACAAAATGTCTTCTGATTTTCCATCCTTGAATTTGTTCAAAACTGTAGGTGCAAATGTGAATAAACAATGATCGCGATTACATTCAATGATATACTTTTCAATTATTTTTTTTTTGTATTCTTACATACAATAGTTTCAATACAATGTCAATCCAATTGAAAAAATTAAATATTTTGAAAATTTTCAATAATTGACAAATTAAGGCTCAAAATAACAACTACGACGTGGTGGAATCAAAATAGCTCGATAATATTTCTGGGCATTTTTTTTCGCCTTTTAAACCTTTTTTATATACATATGTACATATATTTTTATATACATATGTACATATCGTCAGCTAAAATGAAAAAAGGCGTAACTAACAAAAGCATAATTGTGTAGGAGAAGCAAAAAACTGTTTGAAAAAGTATGCCCGGCAGGGTGATATTGCATATGACGAATAATAGACCGAAATTTTTTAACAAAGTAAAAAATTTGAATTTTGTGTTAGTTGCGCCTTTTTGCATTTATCAAATAAACCCACTTTTAGTTACGTCGTTTTGTTTTTTGTTAAGAGAAGCTCCTTTTTTGACCGCAGACGTGTAGAACTTTGTCAACACATGCAGTTTATTGACATTCACAATATTCATTCAAAAAGTCAATTTTCAATTTTTTGTTAGTTTCGCCTTTTTGCATTTTAGCTAACGATATATAGAAAATAGATAGATAGATTTTATAGAACGAAAATAATTTCCAATTCTTTTTTGAATTTATTATGGGTTATAGTACGAATTTCAATAAAACTTTATATATACGAATATATTTAGAGAATGTATTCGATATATTCGCTCCATTCACACTCGCTTCTAGATATTTTTTGAATATTCCTGTCTATCTCCAACCTGCCACATTATATCATCCCTAATTCACATAATTCATTAGCAGTAAAAAATCAGTAAACATTTATGTTCAATATAAGTATATTTATTTTAAAAAATGTATAAAAAGTTTGTATAAATATTATATGAAAATTGAAGCAAAGTAGTATGTATGTACGCCAAAATTTACATATGAAAAGTAAAAAAATACAAAAATCGAATATTCAATAGCGTACATTTAATAGAACAATTTCAATTTATTAGCCTTCAAGGCACCGCCAATGCATTTGTTAATTTGGGCAGCAGCCTCGCAAGGATGATTGGATCGAATTAAATTGTTGCAGTTATTGGCTGTAGCTACGGCCACCGACACAACCAATTGATTATTCTGCGAGACACTGGCGGCAATGTTTGCAATGCCATCTACCGACAATCTGTTGGTTTTGTCCATCTAAAAGGAAATCGTTGGAAAGTTTTATTTAATCGCAATTTGGGGAATTTGAAATAGCCTACCAGTTTCACTTTCTTAAGAATGCAAGCCATCAAACATTTTTCCTGTGGCGTGGGATTGTCTTCGTACAACAGGGACTTGTCATTAATGGATGGATTAAAGCCCAATTCCTTGGCACATTCCTTTTTGGTGTTGACTAGAAGATCTTGCAAATCTTGTATTTCCTGGGGAATCTGGCGTTTTGAACGGGTATAGGTGCTATCGTGTATGCCATTAGCCAAGGGACTGGCCAAGGGTTTTCGTCCCTTATATTCACTCACGCTATTGGCATAGTAGTTTTTAATCTGTCGCCGCATCGAGTAGAAGAAAAACATCAATATACAATTTTGAAGTTCTTAGCACTTTACTTACACTTTTGCAATTGGCCAAGTTAATGTAGGCCAAAACAAAGAAAATCACCGTCACAGATAATTTCATGTTGTCTGAAATGCTAAATGCAAGTTGTCGAAAGTTGATTAGACTGTGATGTGACTGCAATGGCTTAACAAATGACTGATCAACCTATTTATACACCGATTTTCTACGATTTTGTGCTGATGCGGTAGTTTTATTCTTTTATTTGCTGCTGAAACTTTCGTTTGCTTCAAGGTTATGAAATTACCTTTGTTAAGTTCAATGTGACCAAAGAAGGTAAAAACAAAAAGCATAAAATCCGCCTCATGTTCAATTTTGGTACTTCCATAATTAAGAAAATTCTTTGTGTTTTATTACATTATGCAACAAAATAGAAATGGAAAAAGGGGGAGAACACATACTTGGACTTCAGGCTTGGCATGTTAGTTGGTTTATTTTATTGTAAAAGAATAAAGGAGAACGGCGCCCAAAATCAAGTTTGTCTCTAATATTCCTTTATAAGCTGAGAGGTCAGGCTTGAATCCTCGTATTTGTTTCCCCTTAAGGATATGTGAAATTGGTCAACATACGAATATCGATTATTGTCGTTGTGTACCCTAACTTAAATCCTATTAACAAAAATCCTATTAACTCGTCTTTTGGAAGATAGAAGTAAGATATGTTTAAAAAATCTTCCTTATCCGATTTGAATGAAGGAATGTCATATTGAAAATAACGTGCAATAGCCTCAAACAATGATATAAAGGTTTTTCTTCTTGATCTTAAGAGATACCAGCCAAAAATTCACTACTCAAATACTTGACCTATGACGAATGTTTCCTTCTGTATTCTTAAGATACTAGCCAAAGGCTTTCATCCCCATAAGGAATTTTCTACCCTCCAAAATCTTGTTACACGGCGTTTTTTTTATAAAAGACCTCTTTAATGAAAACTTGTACAAAAAGGTCAAGAGGATCCTTGGTTCTTTTTAGTAGATAATTTTTTATACTCTGCACCCAGGGTTATGTTGAAAAGAAGAGCGGCTTACACCACCACATATCCAATATTAGGATATACACTTAAGCCTGTAAGAGGCCTGTTCTGCGCTCTTAAGAAGGAATAAAGTTAAAAGAAGTCATATATGGGTTTGTCCTTAACGTCTAGCAATTCTTCCTTTATTTTCTAAAATTGGGTTCTGAAACTTAAAAAGACTGAGCAGTGGCATTGGAAATAGTCTAACGTCTTCGCTGTCTTCTCCACACGCTCTATACGAGCAGCTTCCCTCACATCAAATATTGGTCAGTCTACTGATTTCCTTTTTTTTAGGATTAAGATTCGCTTTGTCTCATCCTCATTTGGGTCTCTCCATAACATTTTTGTGTTGTCTCAGTCCCCTCACTATTCCAAAGAATTGTGTAGGTTTTCGTTGTCCATGACATTAGTTTTAGTCGCGTTGCACTAAAAGGTTTGCATCCATTGTATGTCGGTCGATTGCACTTGTGGGGAGTATATTTGCTATCTCGTTTCCTTTTATTTTTATGTAACTCGGTACCCACATGATTTGTACCATACCATGCCGCGAGAAATTATGTATGGTTTTTATTCATTCTAATATAGTTTTGGATTTGAATGTTTTAGAGGTTATTGCTTTTATGGCTTATTTACTATCTGCCATAATAAATATTATTATCTCCTGACAAAAGTTTGCACTAAACCAGTTCACACACCGTTATAGCTTGAACCTCCACCTGCAGGATCGTATTGTGATATAGTAGACGAAGTGAAATTTCGGTTCGTCAATTAAAAATCCCAGTTCCTACATTCCTGCTACATGTGAGCCATCTGTGCAACAACAGTTAGCAGGAGGCATGTTTGATAGTGTTCCTCTATCCCATGAGTCCTTGCCTGGTATCATAGTTCCACATGTTGTGAGTACTCTTATTTTAGGCATTTGGCCCAACACAAAACTACTAATTGAGGATCCAATTGTGGCCTGTACTATAGGCTGGTGCGGCATATTTTGACCGGGATCGATTAATTCGTTCATAGTTCTAAATTTTTACCGTGCGACAGCCGCTTCATATTTTATTGGATGTCAAATGACATCTTATGTATATACAAAATAGCCACCTAAACTTTCGTTGATGTTGTCCTCATTGCCCCACATATACCTAGGCAGCATGTTCTCTGGACTTTCTGTAACGATTACATTTTACACCAGACTACCGATGCGTATGTTAGGATTTATCTAATAACGCTCTTATAGACCCAGTGTTTCATCTTTAGATTAAACCCCTATTTAGAGCCTTCTGCAGCTCTTCTGCAGAATGACCAGCTTTGACCATTTAAGTTTTTTGTCTATTTGATATCATTATCACTTTATTTTGAAATATTGGTTCTTCATACTGTCCTAGTCTAGTGAACAGACATATTTCCGTCTTCGTCGGATTTATATTAAGGTCCCTCGGCCTCGCCCAATTAAAGGCGATGTTTAACAGCCGTTTCAGCCTTCCTAAACAACAAGTTAGGAGCCTTTCCCCTCAGAAGTATTATAACGTCGTCTGCATAATAGATGGTTTCAAATCCCTACTCAGTTAAGGCCCTTAAGGTACTATTGGTAGTGGTAACACACAGCAGCGATGATAAAATCCCTTTCTACGGAGTACCTTTTCCTACTTTGGCCCTGATATGTTTTGTAAACTACAGTTTATCCATCTATTCCTTACCATGATGCCTAAGGTATGGTAGTCTGGTCAACTCGAAATGTCTCTAAGGATTTAGTAAGAGTTTCAGTGTCGACATTATTGAAAACTCCCTCGATATCAATGGTGTTGCGTAATCCGATAGGATTTTGGTGTTGCATCCCGCACGATTTGATAATCGGTTAAAAGGGGCTATTGAGGATTGGTGACAAATCATAGATCTTTGTGTACGAGCACGAAACAAGACGAGACAAATGTAACCAAAGTTGTTCGAAAAGAAAGTCTCCGAAACAAATGGTTGCATCGTTCTTCGGCCAAATAAGATGGAGACGTTTTCTAGGTGGCGCCCAATGTCTACTTTTTCTGCATATTAAGAAAACATGAGTGGTCAATGTCATTCCGTTAGCAAAACCTCCAAAAAATTTTAATTATTCACTGTTTGATATTGCAAATGGGATATATCGCTCCATGGTACTCTACAATATTCCGTATTTTTTGATCGTCCCAATTTCGTTTAGTCCATATATAACGCTTTTTTTGGGGCAAGATCTTTAGTCAAATTGGATTGGATTATCCTTGGATGTAAAATGGAACTACCAAAAATTAATTATTTGCTATTTTCAAGGTTCTACCAAAAACTAAGGAGTTCGTCCCGGTCTACATTTTACTTGAAATGTTTCATGTTTTGATCATAACTTTTACAAAATTTCCTATATCAGACAACTACGGGTTTTCGGCGAAGTACTATATATTTATTAAATTAAATGTAACTGTATTAGCAGCAACATTTTTAATCTAATTTTTTTTATCAAATTAATATATCCAACTAATCCATTTAATAACACAACAGACATATCCCCATTTATTTATTTTTGATTAAAATCGTTCACCAGTAATTGTCACATGTGTATGTGTACATATGTGTGTAAATGGCATGTCTAAATATCCGTTGTAATAATAATCGGAAACATGTTGTCCATCATCTGATAAAAAATTAACATTTTATTTATTTTTCTGTCATGATTATTATTATTTCAAAACGTATGAATATAAATAAGGACAGCATCTCATTGCAAATTAGTTCAATTTTAAGTGACTTTGTTTAACGTGTCAATAAGTGAAAAACGCTACACAAAAGGTGTAGTGTTTATATTTTTTAAAAATTGACACTTTTTTCACAAAAAAGTGTGAAAAATGTATTTTTTCAAAACATTTTTAGTTTGTCTTAGTCTAATTGCCATCGTATATGTAAGTAAAGATAAATGTTGAATGTGGAATAGAAAACACGAGTACATAAAAATATAAAAAATAAGAGACTGTGACAAATATAAATGTACCGTTGTCGTGCTATGTATATTTTAATTGTATAATTTGAATTCTGTATATCGGAAACATAGAATTTGATGTAATACCTTCAGATAACACGTCCACAAACAAAGTGACAACTATATCAAATAAAGTTAAATCTCTGGGGGTCATCCTAGACAGAAAACTTAAATGGAAAGGTCACACGGGAACGGGCAGGTAAAGTTCACAGATGCTGGTCCTTCTACAGAACAGGCGTAGGCTTTAAATGGGGTTTTAATCCAAAGATTTTACACTAGATCTATAAGAGCGTCATTAGGCCAATTCTAACATACGCTTCGGTAGTCTAGTGGGTAACAAAAACTGTTGAAGTACTAATAGTACGTTTACATTGTTCCGGATTACGTTAACCCAGTGGGTTTCAATTGTCAATTCCCTTGTATACATAAATCCTCATAGAGTAGGTTAACCCGACAAAAAGCTCTAATGTAAATGCCGTTTTAAAACAAAAATTTCACTTTGCCTACCAGGTTATAATACGATCCTACAGGCGGAGGTTCGAGCTATAACGGAGTGTCTGAAATGTTTTTGTGCAAACTCTGGTCAGGATATAATGAAAATAGTAGTAAACAAGCAAAAAAAAAAAACTGGGTTAGAATGTATACAAATCATAAATAATTTCTCACGACATGGTCTCGTACGAATCACATTGGTACAGAGTCACATAGGAAACGAGGTAACAAATATACTCGCCAGAAGTGCAATTGACAGACATACAATAGATGTAAATAATGCCATACCTTTTTGGTCCAAAGCGTCTAGAACTAAGATCATGGGCAACGGAAACCCACAAAATTCTTTGAAATAGCGAGGGGACTGGGAAAAACTCAAACATTTTATGGGCAGATCGAAATGAAGATAAGACAAAGCAAATCTTAACACTTAAGAGAAGAGAAGACTGACGGGTATTCTCACTGGACATAACAACCTGTGGGGCCACTTACTCCGAGCTGCGGAGGTGTCACCACAATTTACGAAGGAGAACGTGGGCTCGGACAGAATATGCATGATAATGTTAAAGTAGCTGGATGAACCCGGAGTGGAGTATTTAACACCAGCCATCAACTTGTGTTTATTCAACCACATAGTCTCTGAAGCGTGGAATATAGAAAGGATGGTCCCGCTACTGAAGCATGGCAAGAATGCCAGAAGGGGTGAATCGTACAGGCCGATTTCATTCCTATCGCCAGTAGCAAAGACATTTTGAACGCTAATCCTCCCATCACATTTTTCCAGAAGCGTAACATCAGTATGAATTCCGTAAGATGCACAGCATTAAACGCCATTTCCACGTATATTAGCAGATGACTTAACCATAACTGGCCGTGCAACCGAATAGTTATGATGGCATTTGAACCATGCCAAGCTGTTCGAATATATAGAGAAGACAAGTCTCCGACCGTGTTTGAAATGTTGGATAATCAACTATATTTGTGGATGCCAGTCGTATGTGGAATTCGGAAACAGGAAGTCTAAACCCAAGAAGGGGTCAATCTCCGGAACTGTTTAACCTCTACCTTTCTGATATTCCACAACCACCGGACGGAGGTCTTGTTGAACATAGTGGTCGATGGAGAACGGATTCCAAACACTTACTACCCCAAGATACTGGAAAGTACGTTCGACAGCATTTTCAAGTCATCTGCGCAAGTCACTGCTTTATGCGATAAGCTGAGAAGTAGTAACATGGTTCTCAAGTCGCTAGCCGGCAGCACTTGAGGCGCTAACAAAGAAATCTTCTTGACCTCTTATCAAGCCAATGTAAGTGATACGCAATGGAAGAATATCCGGACTTACCAGAATGCTTCCGTGAGAACTGCAAGTCTGAATGGTATTCACACAGATGCAGTCGCTCAGGCAGTAGAGCAATATCGAGTGAATAACATAATAGGAGACCACCCCCCATCCATCGCAGCACAGTAGAAGGTTGCGAGGTAAGCAACTGGTGTAGAGGTGTGAAGAAGACAGCGAAGCGTTAGAACATTTCCTGTGTCATTGCTCATCCTTTTCAAGCTTCCGAACCCGATTCTTAGGAATTGACACCTTTCGTGAAATAAACGACGTAAGTGGATGTGAATAGAAAAAAATGAAGGACTTCCCCAAAAAAGGGTTCCTAGACGTTTAGGACAATCCGATCCAAAAATGACTTCTTCTAACTTTCTTCCTTCTCTAGAGCCAACAACGGGCCACGTACAGGCTTAAGTGTATGTCCTAATATTTGACATGTGGTGGTGCAAACCACCCCTCTTCTCAACCTAACATAATCCTTTTCAAGCTTCCAAACCTGATTCTTAGGAATTGACACCTTTCGTGAAATAACCGACATATGTGGATGTGAATAGAAAAAAATTGAAGGACTTTACTAAAAATAGATTTCCTAGACGTTTAGGACAATCCGATCCAGAAATTACTTCTTCTAACTTTCTTCCTTCTCTAGGGCCCACATCGAGCCACGTACAGGCTGAAGAGTATGTCATAATATTGGACATGTGGTGGTGCAAACCACCCCTCTTCTCAACCTAACCTAAACCAAAATTGCCACCGGGAAAAAACCTTATAGTGGAAGGTATAAAAACATTCTCAAATTTCTTGTAAATTATCCGCAAATGAAGCCATGTCTGTACGAACAACAAGATGTGGGTCATGAATGATCGATCCACTACATATTAGACTTTAATTTTATATGGCGACTGTTGCCAAATTTTGAAAAATTATTATGATTTCCCCATCGAAATCGTATTTTTATTAAATTTATTTTTTACCTCAATTTTCCCACTGATAAAAATACAAACCATAACTCCATTTATAGGCCGATGATGATGACGACGACATTGGTATGACATCTGATGAATTAATTGATGCACTAGAGCCCTTTGGCGAAAATTGTGATCCAAAACCCGAACGAGGTACGTAAATAAATATATTTATAACATTGTAACTATTTTTCCTATTACCATAATGATAATAATATTTTGAAAATCTTTATTTAATTGCAGAACACATTAGACAATTGATCAAGAACGACGAAAATCCACATCAGAATTCGAAATGTTTTAGACATTGTTTAATGCAGGAATTCGAATTGGTAAATATGTTTAAATATTTTAAAGTGCAATATAAATTCATGAAGAGAAGTTTCTTAATTTTGAAATAATTGTTGATGTTAATAAATTCCATCATTAACACTAGAAAGACGGGCATTTTGTATATACCTATATTGCCTAAAATCGGTCAAAATGACCTCATTCTGAAAAAATTTTTATTGTGTAAAGAAATTTTTTCAAACTAATTTTTTTATATTTTTTACATTATTTGCAATCATACAAAACGTTGTTTTTATTTGTTTTCGGTGGTAGGGCTCTCGAGTTTCCCCTTTTGAAAAATAAGAGCGCGGACAAAATGTTCGAAAAAGAGGAAGTCTTTACTCTAAGAGTGAAATTGACTGGAAATATAAAATTTATTTTTCCCGATTTGTATGTTCGTTTGTGTTTCTAAAGTAGCAAACGGGTTTCGATGTTGTTGTACTGATCTGGTCATATAAGAAATTTACTTTATACAATAATGAAAGTAGTTTGATTATTTAATAATTCACAAAAGGTCAAAATGACCGCTTTTAGGCCATATAGGTATAGCACATGTGAATACGGGGAATGAAAGAGGGCAGGAAACAGCTACTATGATTAATAAACTTAGTTCTATGTGGTACAAAAAGTCACCAAATTTTAAAAAGCTGGGTCATAATATACACAATTGTTTTTGTACTTGAAGTTGAAAAACGGTCAAAATGACTGCCTTCGGCAATCTAGTGTTAAACTACTTAATTTTCATTATTTTTTTATGCAACCAATATTTCTATATTTCCACAAAAGCTAAGCGAGGGCTCCACTACAATGAATGAAGACAAAGCCGTCGATATGCTTTCGATGATGTATTCCGATGGCAAAGAGGACTTGGAAGAGATCATTAAAATCTGCAATGGAGAAAATGAGGGCGTAGCAGAAAAGTAAGTAGCTGCGAAGCTTTCAAATATGAAGTATAGATCTAATGGCACAATATTTCAGATGTGAAAATGCCCACGCTCATGGTATGTGTATTTTGCGAGAGTTGCGACAACGTAACTACAAAATTCCTCAAGCAGGAAAATAAATGACGTCTAACCAGATTACCTAATGATATTGATCTCGAATACTGTCTACATGGTTTAAGCTTTGATTTTATGTCCTAATCATATTTAAAAAAATATAATAAATTTATTAAAGCAGATTTATCATACGGTACCTTTACAAATAATGTAAGAATATATACAAAGAAGTATGTTATGCATCTTACGCATATATAACATAATATTCCAATAATTTTTTACAAAATAAATGTACTTAGAAATGGTGTGGTTACAATTAGAAAACATATTTTGTTATTTCCACTGGGACACAAAATGCAGTACATGGTATGAAGGGTGGAAAATTCATATCGTCATGCAAACGGCCATAACTACAGAAAAATTCTAAATTAGCTTTTTGTTTGATTATTGTTCGTTTAAAAGAACTACTTGTTCAAACAAAAAATTAAGAACTTCAAACGGGCGTAATTTCAATAGTATGTTTTTATTAATGTAAAAAGACGTTACTACACTCCTGTAAAAAAATAAAGTTCGCAATGTTGAAGATTGAAATTCTGAACTTATATTAATGTAACTTCTGGGATGTTTGGTACTGAAAATGCGATATATCGGTACATTTTTTTGCGATATTTCCCATATAGCGGTACTCCAAAATTCGTTATTTTAAGATTTTTCATTTTTTTAACTAAATTTATTCCCCACTGGGTGTAAGATCTTCCTGCTAAAATTATCAATATTAGTTAACTTTTTAGGGTTGCCCCTATATAACGGTACATAACAAAGATCTATATTTTGAGAAGTTCTACCACGTATTTTAACCAAATAGGCTGATATATTGGGACTTTGGTACACTATTTACATTAATTGGGACGAAAATATATATCTAAATCTGAGCCGATTTTCAGGAAACTTACCACACATCATTCTAGACTCATTTCAGTACGGACGAACTGAACCGATTTCAACACAACATAATACACGTCACTCTAGACTCAATTTGGTACGCTGTACAAATTTTAGTCTCAATTAATTAGTCATTTTGTTGTACTATAATTGTGTTGTAGTTACGTCCTTTTGTTTCAAAAAATATCATGCCAAAAGGACGTAACTGAAATAAAACCTTTAAAAAGTAGTACGAACTTCCTACAGTACGAACTTCCTACACTCCACAAACCTTCACCCCCACAGTGATCCTAAACCCAAGATTCAGGATTCCATCTCTATCTGTCCACCCACAACTCAAATTGTACCAAATCTAGTACACAGGTGTACCAATTTCCAAAACTTCCTACATACCCCTATCCTGCACTCTCACAATGACCCTAAATCCGTGTTTTAGGATTCCAATTCTATCGGTTCGCCTACATTCAAACTGTACCAAATTTAGTACACAGTAGTACCAATTTCCAAAACATCCTACATACTCCATTTCTACACCCCCACAGTGATCCTAGATCCAAGTTTCAGGATTCCAATATTCATATTCCACTCCTACACTCCGACAGTAATGTTAATTTCAAATTTCAGGATTACAGTTTGATTTGTACCTCCAAAATAAAGTTGCATCAAATATAGTACCATATAGTACTTTTCGTACAAATAAGCACACGCTTTCAAAACCATCTCCTTAAATTGAGCCTACTTCTCAAGCTTAATTCACAATCCAAATTTCAAGTTTTTAGCGCTATCCGTTCACATGCTACGAAATTGTACCAAATTTAGTACATTTTTGTACTTTTCGGATAGTTATAGCTCGAATTTCCAAAAACCCTTTGGTACATGTAGGATATATGTACTCCATCAACGACTATCAACCCAGATTTTAGAGTTCTAGCTCCACCGGTTCGCCAAATACAAATGGTATCACATTTAGTACTTTTTAGTACTTTTCGTACCGTTCTAGTACGAATTTCCAAAAACCCAGTTTTATCTGTCACATTTGGACCTCACCCAAAATTTCAAGATTCTAGCTTCAGCCGTTTCGTCTGGGCGTTGATGAATCGTTAAATCAGTCAGTCAGTCAATCACTTTACTCTTTTATTAGTATAGATATCCTGACCAGAGTTTGCACTAAACCAGTTCAGATACTCCGTTATAGCGTGAACCTTCGCCTGTAGGATCGTATTGTGATCAGATCCCATTCCCGAGCTCACTGCTAGCTGGGAGCCATCTGTTTAGCAACAGTTACCAAGGCATGTTTGCAAGTGTTCTGCTATCCCATGAGTCCCTGTTTCACATGTTGTGACTACTCTTATTTCTTATAGCATATGAGGGCTTCGTCTATCCGTTCCTGTAGGTTGTCTTCCTATTTAATTTTTCCTTATTGGCAGATAGTATTTTGGTGTTGCGTAGTTTGCTTTGGCGAGCTTTGGTATGAAGTCTATCCTAGCATCCTTCCAGGTTTTCAGTGTGTACGAAAAAAGTAAACATGTGTTAAAGAGTTCTGATAAATATGGTGTTATATAATCCGCCCCGTTTTTAGTGGGGAAGGCGTTGACTGAATCAGCTGTTCTGAATGATGCGAAGGTCTTTAATGCATCAAGCATCATTTGTCTATCAATCTTAGGTTCCACATATTTTTTCTCATCTAGAACTATTATTTCATCAGATGACGATGTGTTCGATGGAAATGTGCTTTCTCGGGAAGTCTTACTGTTTCTTCTTTTGTCTCTATTCTATTTCCTCCTCATGTACCATGGTTTCGGTTTAAGTGTGGGGTTTTGATAGAATCTTCCTTGTTTTTGACGCATCTGTGCAATGTTTGGATGAAATTGATTACCCACTTCGAGAACGGACGGACATTTGTGAATAGACTTTCAATTTTATGAAACGGATTTGGCCCAAAGAAACCATGGGTCTAAAATCGATATTTCGACAAGGCACATTTTTATGGTAGCAACGTTCATTAGCCATAAAACAGGGTTTATAAAAGGGTATTAATTGGAGACTGTACCTTAAAGCGAATAGACGACATTTGTCATTATTGGTAGGTAGATTAACTATCCACTGTGAACAAAAAATATAAAACAGAAACGTATCCAAATCCTTAAATATCGATAATCCCGGGAAACGGTTATTTAGGGGTCTATACCTTAAAGTGGACAGATATTAATATTATAATTCAAATTATAAAATTACAGCCCATAAAATACAGCAAATTTAGGGGTGTCGTTATATGATGGAAAACAAAAGATTCCTTCGGAAGTTATCGAAAATTTTTACCCTAGCATATAAACTAATATACCTTCCACATTATGGTGGAGGGTATAAACAGAAGACTATAGTTTCCAATCAAAATTAGCTTTAAAACTTAGGTGAGATAACATTTACGTGCGCGAAGTATCAGTAATTCATGCGTTATCTATGTTGACTACATACGTTACGAAAATAATGTACATTCCCCATTAATTTAAGCATTTAAAAACTACTTCCTTTTTTCCTAACGCAACTCACTATAATCTGTTAATAATCTGTGGTATCCCAATGTATGTATTCATTACTTAAAAAAAGCTATATCCGTCGTAATTTCCTGCTAATTCATCTGTTAAATTACAATTTCGAAGTCACATTTGCGACAACGAAAAACAATCAAAATTCTTTTTATATGTGTTTGGATAATTTTAAGTTATTTGGTTTTATTTAAATTATATTAGACACGCACTTAAATATCGATGATATACAATAAATAGTAGGCAAGTAACTAATATTTCGAATAGGTGAATATTATAATAATTATATAGTGGTCTAATGACTCTCTTCACGCCAAATTTGAATAAATTATTAAATTTATAGTTTTGGTAATTGTCTTAGCGTCATGACATGTCAATTCGTTTTTAAATGAAATTTAAATAAATTCTAATTATATATCTATGGCCAATGGGGATTTGTATACAAGATTAATATTTACTCATTCTTTGTACTTAAGGGAAAACAAATTTAGTAATTTCAGCACGCAAACAGGTGAAGATTGTGTAGGCTGCTTCACAATTGTTCTTTACGCCCACAGCTGCATCTTTACACTTGGCCAAGCCGGCCCTGTATTCTTCCTTGTAATGATCGGGCATGAGGATTTCCACTTGTTTCAAAGAGGCTTCATAAAGGAATTTACCTTTTTTCATCTGTTTTATATAAAATATTAGAATGTAATCTTACAAAAAAAAATTTTTTTTTGGGTTCCTACCGTTTGCATCATTTCCAAGATACAATTGACGTAACACTTAGCGTCCTTATCATTGGGCAAATTACCAGCTCGAATACCATCAGCAATTTCTTTGGTCACTTTGGGAAATTTCGGTAAGCACACATCACGCATCAGACCTCCGGCGGCCCACATCTGTTCCTCGGTTGCCTGTGAGGAAAACAATTAATGTTCGTAATTGGGTGGTATGGCACAAATTATAGTCCTTTTTGTGATAGAAGAATTAAATTGTGTATATTCTTTTAAAGGAAGAAACACCTAGCAAAAAAGGGAGGGACCGAGGAGAAAATAACCGACTCCCAAGAAGACCGTTTACTGAAGCATAATTGACAGAAGTTATCCAGGTAAACCTCTATCGTAGTGAGACGGCAACGTTGGCTCTGATGGAAAGAATAATTAAAGGTAATTGACACATCGGGTAAATGCCGGGACCTTAGACGGTAAAAAACAAGGTATCTGGATTAAGCTACATAAACTACAATTTATTTTATGCAAATACCGGTTCCCGACAAACAGGTTTTCCCAGTGTTGTGAACATCGGATGCAACTACACTGAAATAAGGAAATGGCAAAATTTGCTACCTTCCGTTCGACTGGCCAACGGCACCACCAACGGCAGAATTACAGCGACTGGTAAAAAGATCGAAGGAATTATGTAACGATACTAATCGGTTGTGACTCTATCGTGACCAAACTACTAACAAAAGAGGTTAGAGGTCAATAAGTCAACCATCGTTAATAGAATCAGAGAGGAATTGTTAAACATAACTCTATGTTCAGAAAACTTGGAGAAAAATGGAAATCTCACAAGAGCACCCTTTTTCTGAC